AGCTCAGATCCTTGTTGGAGGACTACTTTCCTCTTGTGCACTTCCATGTTTGTTGGTTGAAGGGTATGCGTTGTTTCATTGTATTAATAAATGTATTCATAGAGCAGCTTTTTGACGTGTCTATTCATCATGTTGCTTTCGTGGCGGAAAACTCATTTGGCCACTCGCACCAACTTGCGCCCCCTAACTGTTCATTCCTGTTTTCTCACCAATGCATCTTGCCCTTGCGTGCTTCTGAGTAGTGGTGAAGGGGCGTCCAAATTTCGAGCGGGATACTTCATTTGTGCTCGGGCAACACCTGTTGATCCGGGGTTAACGACGCCCTTAAGGGCCAAGTGAACGGAAAGATTGTGAAAAGGTGGAACCTTCTTAAGCAGAGGCGCATGGGTGTATGGTTTTTGATTTAAGCCGTCGCCCTCTGGGGTGATATTACGGGACGCATAGGGAACCCGAACGTCATCTCATTTCCGGGCACTTGCGAGAGGATTGGATGTTCAAACATATTCAACTTTGTTGAAACATCCTCCTTGGGGTTCAATTCAAAGGGGTCCATGCTTGTTTCAACCAGGCGCTTTCTTGCTCAACAGGGGTCCCTACATCTCCCTTTTCCGCCAGTTCCAAGGATATTCGCAAAAGGAGCATACAAACTCTGAATGTACAGCAAATGACATAAAAAAGAAAGAAAGAAATGCAGTTCAGCCAAGAGACCTGCTGAGGACAAACTTGTTTCCTCCGAATTGTCACGGCCAAACCAACCCCCGTCTTGGGGGACCTCCCAGTCCTCAGCTTCTCTCGGCGCAGGCGCCTGGGGGGCGCGGATTTTGGAGCGCGACGAGGCGCTGCCGCTGGGCTTGCGCCGGCTCCGGGACGCGGAGGCGTGGCTTGGGGCGCGAGGGGCTTGAGGCGAGTTGGTTGGGACTGATACCGGGGAATAGCCCAAGGGGTTTCCTTTTGTCTGTTGGCTGGTTGGTTGGTTGGTTGGTTGGTTGGTTGGTTGGTTGGTTGGTTGGTTGGTTGGTTGGTTGGGCTTTGGTCGGTTGGAAACGCTTAAGTGGAGAAGTCTCAAATTTGGAAGGTGCTCTTGCTTTTTCCTTTGCATTTTGTAAGTATAACAGACGTGGACAATTCCCGCAAGTCTGGTAAGAGTCGTCAAACATGTTGGAATGTGCTGAACATCATATGTGCCAGCCAGCGTTGAGGACCCAAATCTTTGCGAATTAGGTGATGCTTGGGTGTATTTTTTAGGGAGCCCTGTTGGTATGGTCTTTCTCTTGGTTTTCATCACCCCTGTAATCCGGATCTGAACCACCTCTGCAAGGGTTCCTGTTATGGCAAGTTGCAAGACTTGGGACTTCTGATCGGATGGTGCACATGTCAGCCGCGCGTGCCGCTTCTCCTCAGACCTCAGCCTCAGCGGGGGTAAAAACAGAAAGCGGGCACCTTGGAGCCCATCGAGCTGGCCACATCTTTGGCAGGTGCTGACTGAGCATCAGGCGCACGCAGCCTTGCGGTACAGCGTCCACGCCGCCTGGCCGCAGGGTCCCTTAAAGGGGGGGGCTGGTTTTGACACAACCGGTGGAGGCTCAAACAATGTAGCAATGTGGCAGGCTGAAGCGATGAGGCTAATGCACGCAACATTCGGCATTCAGACAAGGTAAGAGATCAGCCCAAATGCCGCTTCACTTTCTGGCGTCCAAGTTCGCCAGCTTTACGCCACTCTGAACTTCCAAACCGGGCCGGAGAAAGCTTCGCGAATTCTGTTATTTTGGCCAGAGGTTCTGGCCAGAGCATCTTGGCCGTTGGGAGCTCTTGGGGGCTGTTACTCAGAAATGAGACTCGGCAGGCCTCCCATTGGCTGGGAGGTCGACCAAATGGATCTGAGGTGCCGGATCTGGCAGAGGTCCTGGGAGAGTGCGGGGCAGCCCAGACACATGGATCGTTGCAGATTGATGGCGTGGCCAAATATCCTGTTTGATCTATCACGGTTCAAACCAGGGGGACGAGTCCCATGTTCTTGATAGGAACTTAGTATGGGTAGGTTTCAAAGCGACTTGGGCTCGGTTTCAAAGGAGCCCACTGTGACAATAACACTCCTGTTAAAAGTAACAACTTTCAGCATAAGTGAACTGCTTGTGCTCAATTTGGACATTGACCCTTCAGCTTGCGCAAGCGACCGGATGTGCCGCATACCGCTTGCCATTGTGGCGAAAATATTGGCACCCTGACAGTTTCTGAACATCGACCCTGAACGCCGCAGAGCTCATGTGGCTGGTCAAAACGGGTACCCAAAAACGGAGCCCTGGTAAATGGAACCAAGGACTCAAATCTGCGGCCCGATTGGTGGTGTAATTTTGACACACCAGCTCATGTCTTTTGCTCTCCGACTCCGAGACTCCGAGACTCCAAGACTCCAAGACTCCGAGGCCGGCGCCTGGCTTTAGACCCCGCGCCTTTGGCCGGCGCGCTGGCGGACGAGGAATTCGAGGAGGATGCGGCATTGGCGCCTTCGAGTGAAGCGAGGGACCGAGGGACACCAAGGTTCCGAGCTCGGTGTCCCTCGAAGCCTGAAACGGCTTGGGGCGATTTCTGGTTTCTTGTGGTTTAGGGAAAGAAAACAGGTCGGGGGGTCGTCCGCAAAGCACAAGGGTAGACTTTGGTTTTTCAGGGAGCAACCAAGGGAGATTGGGGTAGGAAATGGCTGGAATTCGAGTTCCTTTGCTTCTCCTGATGGGACCAAGGGTCTTGAGAGAACCACCACATGGGCGGCCCAACAAAAAATGGCGATTACGTCGAGCTTAGATCACCATGATGGTCCTTGACTGGGGAAGCGTTATGCAGCTAAGTTATGCACCACTAAGACCTTCCCCAAAATAAACACAAATAAATATCGGGGTGGTTTCCTTTGGGCTTCCTTTTGGTAAACAACTGGATGGTTCCCTGCACTCGCTTGCATGGCTCCATGCAAACCGCAAGACCGAAAGGCCGCATTTTAGGCAAGAACTCGCTCTGGCTACAAGTGAAACTACAGTGGTCAAGGTGGCTTGCAACTGCAACTGGATGCAAGGAATTGGGCACTTTTGGACATGGGGTCCAAAGTGTCAAAGAAGTTGGTGCGTCTTGTTTAGGGGATCCCGCAAAACGGTGGCGGATTTCCTTTTTGGTTTCCCCTTGGAACCACGAAAAAGGGTCATGGCAAAGCTGACCGCCTAGGATCATACGCTGCTGGATGCAGCCCCGTGCTTCATGGCGAACTTGAAGTACATGCCGGCGCTTGGGCATTGGGTTGGCCACTGGATTCATCATTTTTCCTGGATGGCCCTTTCTGAACCAACTTCGAAGCCGGAGGGAGGCACTCATAGACTTTGATGTAAAGATCATGCTTAGAAGGTCACCTCACTGGAAGGAACGGCTAAACTCGACCCCACAAAAGCATCGCACAAGACGCGGGCATGAAGGTTGCTTTGTCCATTTCTTTCAGGTGGATTATACCCAGCAAGAAGCAATCGCAGGGCTTTCCTTGTGCTTTGTTCATATGGGTTTACCTATTCAGGATCTCTTTGGACTCAGCTTTGTCATTGGCCGTTGACACTCGCTGTTTCTGCGCGACTCGTTTGCGTGCAAAGCCCAGGAGGGGCTGTGCCTGTTTGGCACAGGGCCCGATCCGATTTGCTGATAGGCGAACATGCACAACCAGAGCCGCAGCAGGGAGGACAAGCCAAGGGGTCTTCCCAGTGTGGCTGTGGCTGTGTGTGAGCATGTCTGCCTCTCTGTTTCTGTATGCCTGTGTGTATGCGTGTGTGTGTGTGTGCCTATCTGTGTGCATGCGAAAACTAGTTGGATCTTGTTTAGTTCCTTTTCACAGGAAACTGACCGACAAAGGAAACCCAGCATATGAGAACCCAGCGTTGGAAAACCCCATGATCGATGTACCAGTTTTAGAGAGGAATCATATCACCTGTTGGGGCAGCGACTGACATGCATCCACTTTCATGATCCTTTTTGCACGCATGGATGGGGAACAACTTCCCAGGTGCCAAGCTGCGACAAAACGTCCACGCCACTTGTAGGACAACGTCCTGCACTGCCAGCAGCGCTGCCTTCGCACGGCGGGGTGCGCTCACTTTTCGCGGCTTGGGTCTGCTAAGGCAATGATTTTGTTTGAACCGCTTGATGTTCAACCACTTTCCACTTCCGCAAGAGGTGAAGCTGGTTTTGCAGATCCTTTGCGCAAGTGAGATGAGTGTCTTGCAGACGGCATGTGTTGGATATTGGGTAAAAGCTGAAACAGGTACAGGCAGGGGGTATTTCTGGAATGTGAAGAACGCCCGTTCCCAGGTAGTAGACGTTTTGGACAGACGGTCTGTCATCAGGAAAGCCTTTTAACTGATTCGTTCTTTTTGTCTGGTACGCAATTTAGTTGGGCCTTGGCAGTAATCCTTTCCGGAGAGACCCAGGTTTTGGCCCGACCACGGCTGCCATCTCCAGAGCATGGAGGCCGTGTGCTGAAACCCGACGGTTCCTTCGAGCGGAAGTTTGCCTGGATCGCAAGAGCCGGTCTAGATATAATATCATATGTATATATCATATATATATATATGATGGATTGCATTGCACAGTCACCGAGGTGTTGCAGCCATTTTGGAGTTGCGCTTTTTTCTTTGGCTGGTTGCAAGTGCTTAAGAATGCCTGCAACGGTTATGAAGGGACAGTCAAATTTTGATCACATTGCTGGGTCGCCTTTCGGTGTACCTGCAAAGACAGTTCGACCTGTGCGAATTTATCACATGAGGGCTAAATAGTTGCACCCAAAATCGTCCTACATGAGGCAATTTGGTTTCATTGTACACTGCTCCATTCCAGTTCTGTAGGCTCTTACATGAGCTTCCTGGTAAGCAACAAGTTTTAACTCTTTGCACTTGGTTCAACCCAGGGCCATGTCTCTGCCATCTGAAATCTGATTAATCAAATCTCCGGCGAGTGTTTCTGCCAGTGCAAAGCTCGGTGTTCGTGGCGAGTCTGGCGAAGCTTACTGCCAAGAACTACAAACCCTGGTTCTTCAAGCCCATCCAAAACTTGGAAGCGCGGGAGGTGGATTCCTTTGGTTTTATTTGGTTTCCTTTGTTTCGGTTTTCCTTTAGCATTATTTGGCACCCAACCTTCCTGCCAAGGGCACGTCCGCCGTCCGCCTCGCGACGCGAGGCCAAGCGCACGCACGCCACGCGGGTGACCAGCGGCCCCCCTGATTGCCGGGAGCGCAACAGGTGGGGTGGGCTAGAACCTTCCCCTTAAATGATGTATGTACGTCTCAAAAATTCAATTAAGGGACCCGCACAATGGATGCTTTCTTTTTGGGCTTCTTTTCAAACCAACCAAAGGGGGCCCCCCCAAAAAGGCACCCATTGTGTGTGTGTGTGTTTGTAGACTTGGCGATTCCCGCAGATGGTTCCTGCATGTGGGACTTTTCCCAGATATGTCCGTCAGTCAGGTTTCCTGCTGTGAACCTCGGGCTTCGCTCCTCCGTGCGAGTCGACTCTCGCCTGCCTGGCTCTGTGCTCTCACGGCAATGGCTGACGATGGATGCCGTTTCCTGGCGCCCGAAGACTTCCGCACCTCCGAAGACCGGCGTCGATCTCCCAGTCTTTCCGGCTTGGCGATCTCCCAGTCGAGCTTCCAAGACCTCCGCGATGCTGTGGTGCCCCGTTCGCATCGGCTCGTGCAGCATGTCGGCCCCACCGCTCTTTATCAAGAAATCCGCTGGCAGTGTTTGTTCCTCCAAGCAAGTTTCTCTTTGAAGCTCCGCTAGTTCACGGCGAATGTCCAGAGCGTAGCGTTTCGCTTGTTCTGACCCTCCGCTGTGTCCTTGGAGGTCATGGAGAGACTTGGCGTCAATGCTGGCCAAGGCCTAGTTCAACTGCACCTGGGTGACATTCTTGTCAATGAATGGCCACGAAGCCCGAGTGAGCCACACGCCAGTTGAGTAGCCCATCTTAGCAGCTCGCTTCCCGTCCACAAGCTCCCGGTCGAAGACTTCCACAATGTCCCCTTGAGATGATCCCTTGGAAGCGTTTGCATACGAGGCATCAACTCATTTCTGCTTGGTGTCCAGCGCCACCGGGATGAGCTCGGCAATGTCCCTCAACTTCGGCACCACCTTCCCTCATCTTGGAGCCAAAGAGCAACGCGCTTGCTGCAGCATCTGGCCTTCCTTCATTTGTTTTTTGGCGAATTCAACGCTCCGCAGCCCTTCTCACCTCCTTGCTTCCCGGCATCTTCTTTCGCAGAGACCGCCGGATCGATTTGCAGGCCGCCCCTGTTCAGGTTGACCTCCACCTCTGGCCACTAATCCTCCGTGGCCTTGGGGGCGCGCCTGGCCTCTTCCACTTGCCCCCAGAGCTTCTTTGCCCTTCTCGCCGCTCATGCACGTCACTCTCTCCCAAGTGCCTCGGTGGAGTTGGGCATTCACATGCCTTCAGGTAGCAGAGCTCCACGTTAACCCCTCCACACCCTCATGCAGGTCACCATGGACTTCCGAGTGGTCAAGCTGTTCTGAAACCAGCATGCGCCGTTGTCCTTCATATAGTCCAGGCTTTTTACAGGCCTGGCGGGTATATCGCGGCTAAAGCTGGCTTTGCACTCAACATCTGCACATGCTGGTGACCCAGAACCCACTTTCGTCACCTTCGTCGCTCTAGACCACCGAAGGTTGTTCCCCTATTAGGCCCTATCAAGCAACTTTAGTCTATATTGTCCACCGCCGACTTCGCCAAAGCCACTGTCGTTCTGTCTGTTCCAACACGTGGGGCGAAGCCTAAACAAGGCTGTGCTCCTACCACTAGCAGAGGATCCTCCAAAGTTCGACACATGCGTTTTTTGTCCTCCACATTTGTGAGGTAGCCGGATTTCAAGTCGAAGGCTGTGCTCGCTACCAGGCCCTGCTCCAACTCCGAGGACTGATCTCTGAGATGGCCACCACCTTCTGACTTCCTCTGACTTCCTCTGACTTCCTCTGGCCGCATTATTCTACCAGTATCAAAGTCACCCCCTAAGTGGTGGGCTAAAGGCAAACCACCCCAGTTGCTAACTTTACCCCCCAGAAATGATCAATGACCCCGGCTGACTTCCTCTGACTTCCTCTCTTCGGCTTCTTGAGTTTCGGTGACAGCGATGGCATGCCAAGATGCTCCTGGGCTCCGCGCGCATTCTGCCGTGGTTCTTGTTCATCACGTCCTCCTTTACGTCGAAAAAGCCCTTGACCCTCGTCGCCTTGACCTTGTCCACCGTCAAGATGGCGGGCGGAAGTCCTCGCGCCTGGTCGCTTCTTGCGCCATCTCGTCCTGCTCGGCCGAGTCGACGTGTCGGATGTCCGCATTGCTCCTCCTTGACAGCTGGCTTCTCCTTGGACTTGTGAGGGGCAAACGAAGGATGACGTCCGAGGCCGAGGCCATGGAATGACCCACATTGACAGCTGCCCAAGCGATTTCTGGAAGGTCGGGCGCGATC